TACACATACACATATCTTCTTGCTTTCATTCTTTCATGATCTCCCTTTTTTTCTTCTTTTTTTCTCTATCTCCCCCTGTCTCTTTCTTTCTCTTCTCACTTTCCTCTCTCTCTCTTTCTCTTTCTTTACTTGTCTCCGATCTATCGGTTTCTTCTCTCTTTACTCTCTACTGGTCGTTGTAAATATGCCTTTATGTTCTCTTCTTTCCTGGATTGGAATGGATGTAGTAAAGTAGAGACAAGCAAAGCTTTCATGCCTGTCATGGTGACTATAAATTAAATTTAAAAATCTTTGTCTCTTATACTTTCAGATTAATTACTACTAAAAAGAAATGTGTAATGGCTTTTTTACATTTTATTTTACTTTTTGTATTGGTTTAATGCTCTAAGAAACAATCTTCTTTGTGTCTATGTTCACCATCACCGTCACCATTACTTGTATAATCTCTACAGTTGTTTAACTCTTATCATCATATTTACTGGTATCACCATCGCCATCACTCATCATAATCACTCTAGGTAATCACTATCACTAAAATTATATTCAGAAATATTATTCATTTGTTTAATTGTGAAGGTCGTTCCACAGAAAAGAAAAACAAAACTTCGTTCCTTTCTTTATTTCTCGAAAACAATGGTGTTTGTTGAATATTGGAAGTTCTATGGCATTAGTCTTGTCACTTGCTCGAGCGACAACCAAACAGACTGGCATTTGAATCAACAGTAAGAGAACAAATCACAGAGATGCATGACAAAGAATAACAACAACAACAGCAACAAAACAAGAAAAAAAATCCCAGACCGCAACAAGCATTTACAAAAGTACCAAAATGACAAGTGTACAACAAAACATACCCTAAAAACAACGGTATGAGCACATATACATTGCACATATGCTTGCAACTTGCACACGTCGTCAGATGGTCTCGCTTGGAGGCAAGGGCGTGCTTCCTCCAAGTGGCTGCAGTGTAGCGCATGCAATACGAGTCCGTTGATCCTTTTGCAATACGAATGCATTGCTTGGAAAAACGACGAGAAACGAAAAGGAAAAGGGAACTAAAACGGAAGGAAGAATCGAAGAGAAGATAATGCCCGTCACCAGAGTCACAGGACCTTGTGAACTCTTCCCGAAAAAAGAAGAGAAAAGAAAAGAAATATATATAAAAGAAAACTCCAGTAACAAGAATCCGGGTTGCACATCCAAAGGAAACCCGATGCCACCGTGGCCTTCTATTTCCTCCCGACGGGCACGGACACGGGCACGGAGACGGGCACAGAGACGGGTACGGACACGGGCACGGACACGGAACCACCTGCGGAACCTGGCTGCTCCGGCACTACAGGCTGGTACACATACCCTTTCGGTACATCTTCATTGATCCAAGCCCACCTTTCCCCGCCCTCGGGCGTCTTGACCTTCCTGAAGAAGTTGTAGTTGAGGTAGTAGTACATCTCCGGGTTGTCGCAGACGAAGCCGTCCTTGTGAACGCAGGCCATACTCGCCTGGGGTGGGAGGCAGGGAGAGGCGTGGGTCATGGCAGGAAGTGAGTTGAGTAATATATGGCCGCTTTCGCATCACGGTGGCACTTGGAGCGCCATTTGAAAAGGAACATCCGGAAATATATGGAACCTTTCACACACAAGTGGCGCGGCGTGGCACGCACATCCCACGTGGAACATGCGATGTGCCACGCCACGTCTGTGTGAAATGTTTCATATATTCCCGGATGTTCCTTTGCAAATGGCGTGCCACGTGCCACCTTGGTGTGAAAGCGGCCTAAATTGTATAAATCGAAGTGCTTGAGCTTGTAACCATCAGATCTTTTGTAAAATTGTGCCACTAACACAGAGATGAATATATTTTGTATTATGGTTAAAACTACCTAATGTACGAGGGATCTAATGGATACTAAATATGACAAAGTACAAAATCCTTGCGCACTCACCTGGTCAAAACTGGTCTGGTTTCCGCAGATGAACGAAAAGGTGTACGTAGTTGGAGTCTTGTAAAGGGTTGGGTATAGCGAGTGGAGAGGCAAGCAGACGTGGAAAATCTGACAATCGTTGTCTGGATCAGCGTAGTAGCCATAAGCCTGTGCAATTGTACTGATTAATTTTCTTTAAAAAGTATCTAAGCTTATTTTATAGTTACATGAATATAGGCATTGCCGTGCATCATGTCACATACAAACGCACAGATCACACATCTTGTAGAAATATTAATTAGTGTATCATCAAGCATGCAGTTTGATATATAGATTTATACACACACGGAGTACTGCTCGCTACAGCTTCTTTCTCCCATGGCAGAAAAACTGGAAAGGGGATTAATCATGGGGTGAATTCTTAGGACGCTGTTCACTCTCGTCGCACATTTTGTTTTGTTTTGAAATCCAAGAATGAGGTTTGGAGACTAGAAAACCATTGTAGAGTTGCCAAACCACTGGGGCAGAAGAGGAATTACTGAGAAATAGTGGGCGGTCTCTAGACTGATTCCTCTG